TTTAATATATTATTTATTTATACATATGCTAAGTTTTTTTTACATTAAGTATCGCTATCACTTTAAATGATTCATTTTTTAGACAGGCTTGTGAAAATTTGAATATGTTTATTTTTGTGTATAAAACAAATGATGTGAAAGGGAAAAAGAGGAGAAAACAAAGCAGAACACTTGCATAGTTTTAATGAGTACAGAGCAAAGCATAAAAATTTTTGCTTTTGTCATTGTGAAAGAAACAAGACTTCGTTTATTTTTAGAGACCCGGGAAGGGAATGAAAAAGGTGTTAAAGAAGCTTAAAACGTGACGTTACATGTTAAAAGCTATTTCTTCGCTTCACTCTCTACGTTTTGGGTTCTTATTTTTTCAGTGTTCACAGGTCAGCATAAATATATTACGGCTGCCTAAAAATTAGGAGCGATTGTAGGAAATATAGGTGGAAGCGATTGCAGTTTTAATGACAGTTTCTTTCCACAATGCTGTCAATCTTCTGGAGTTTTTCAAACCTGTAAAAAATTTGGCTCAGAAAAGTTCTGAACGCAGTTTTAAAAGGAGAGGATGGAATGAAGCGCTGGTTGTCACGATTCAGTCTTAAAAAGTCTGTTGTAGAAGTTTGATGGATTGAGTACGTGTCGTAAAGTTTTAATTTGAAGACCATACTGAAGTCTTTTGCAGAGTTTGGACTATAGTGTAGAAGAACCCGTAGAAAGATGATGGTTTTTAAGAAGATTCGGCTGCAGCGGTGAAGTTTCGGAAGAGCACATCGACTGGAGCGACGCTCATTGAGCGAAAGTGATTTGCAGAAATAAATTAAATAATAAATGTTCGACGGCGTCATGGTGAAAATTTTTATTACCGTAGCTCCGCTCAGGCCGCTCTTGTGGAACTTCAGCTGTCTCAGCTGACTCTCTCTTTTTTTTTAAAACTATTCATCAACTCAGTCAGAATCTTCAGTAAGTCTTCTACCGTTATGTCTAAATAATTTGATGCAACTTGCGTGGCTTATGGACTTCGAATAATAGACTTTCCAAAACTGGCCTCTGACAGTCGGTGCATCTTTCTATGTTCTTTCCAACTTTCCTTCAGAACTTCGACGAGCTAAATTTTTTGCAGATTTAGACTGTTTTAGATCAGTAGCATCGGATGAGTAGAAACTTTCTTGAATTCTACGTTCGCTTTTATTTCAAGGCCGATTCTCCCTAAGTTTACTATTTCCAGCCTCTAGACAGTCGTGTTATGTTTACTCAGAGTTGTGAACCCGGAAGAAGTAAGAAATGAGTATTTGAAAGGGAAAACACCAAGCAAAGAGGCAGCTTACTAATCTACGTTTTAAGCTTGTTCAACGTCTCTTATTTCCTTTTTATTCTTCTTAAACGGTTGGGAAACACCTTGTACCCTCCAACTGCTGCTGACTGTGGCATCATCTATAATTTTGGGTCCGACTTGTATTCACTAGTCACAAGCAAAAAAATATCTCTCGAAGTGATGTAAAATGCGTTATTTTAAACAGTTTGGGCGAGAAATTATTCTAGTTTGAATAGGCAGTATTAAAAAAGATTTTTTTTCGTTTCTTTTGTTCGCGGCGTATATATATAGTTGTTTATTTATTTATTTATGTTTGCATTTATATTTATATTTATGCTTATATTTATACACTTATGTAGTGGCAGCTTCAAAAACAAGGCTAGATTTTCAAGACGAGAAAAATTATTTACCGATGTGTTGCTTTTGACAGTGCGGTGCTCACGTTATTGATGTTATTGCGTTTTAAAGCATAGTTAGTGTGCTTTAATTTAATTAAAAGAAGGCAAATCTCGGCACATTTTTTTGGTTAAAACAGTTAAAGGTGAGAAAGTGACATTGGGTCGTTTTTTATTCATGGTAAGCTACAAAATAAAATGTTTCTTATTTTAAGAACAGGGTACACTCAGAAAAAAAATATACATTCAGAAAATCATCCATAGCTTAATGTCGTTTGTCGACAGCCTTTATTTTTAATGACCAAGCAGTATTAGCTACGCAGGCGTGTTCAGTAGTTCATAAAACGTGGATGTTGGGATGTGTCGTCAAGTATTGGTTACTGATTCGTTTACTGCTTCAAAAGCCTGCAGTTAGGAACCAGCTTTCTTATGGGATCCAGTTCTGACGACTGGGGCGAGTATCTCATTATGTCTACTTGATTATCAGTTATCTCTCAACTGTCTTCCTCGAAGGACTGCTTTGGATTCTTGCTCCATTGGAACATCTAACCATCAAGAAACATTATTTTTGCGTGCAGCAGTATTACTTCTTGGCAAAATTCGTGAGCTTACCTGCGTGGACCTATGATACTACTGAGCTGGAGAACGGAATTAACATTTCTAGGGTGAAATGCCTTTCAGACCAAAATAAAAAAATCTTTTTTTTTTTTTTTTTT